ACCAAAAGTTTAAAATATCATATGTAGAAGTGTATTTATATTTTATATTAGATTTTTATTTACGTCATATTTGATAAAATAATATATATATTAAATAATAACTTAATTTCCTTGCTAAAAAATGTAAGTCTAAATAAATAATCTGAGGATCTATATTATATTATTAAATTAAAAAATAAAAATAATGATTGAGTCTTTTTTCTATATATCTATTTAAGCCTATTTGGCTAAATTTTTGTTTATGTTTGTTAAATATAAGGTTTAAAATACATGTGTGCAGATGTTTTGACATATAATTAGTAAAATCTTGTAATACTGAAAGAAATTTATATAAAAAGCTGAATATTATAGTCACATTAGAAAATTCAAATTTGAGTATTTTTCACTATTTAATTTCTTGAAAAATTTAAAAACTAAAGCCTATATATTAATTGGTTTTTTAGTAGTTTCAAAGCATATATAGTTCAAAGAAGAGGAAGAAAAACAAATATATATATATATATATATATACACACATACACACATACACATGCATATCATTAAATACTATAGTATTAAATACTTAAATTGTAATACATAAAAAAAAAGATCGAATTTTATATCTTATATGTCTAGTAAAGTTTATAAGTAAAGCAATAATTATAGATATAAAAATAAATAAATAAAATGTTTAAATTTTAAAAAAATTAAATGGAATTTTTAATTTCAGATTAATTTTTTCTCTTTTAATTTTAATTTTTTTTTAACAATATGTCAAAGAAATTGTAACTTGAGAAGTATGTATAACTATAATTTTTTTAAAATACAAGTGCAAATTGTCTTTATTTTTTCTTTGGTTACATATCATCAATTTTATGGATTTTTAATTTAAAAAGATTTTTAAAACTTAATTTATATTAATAACCATTTTAAACTTAAAAAAACCTTATAATTTTCGTGTCAAAATTACTTTGTTATTGGTTGGAACAATTTATCAATAGAAGGTGCATAACATTTTTTAGTTTACAATTCTATTATTTATCTTTAAAATGAAATTCTAAAAAAATATTTTTATGCTGTTTGAAACTTTAAATTTAAATTGTATAAGAATTTTATAGAACAAAAGACAGCCCAACCTTAGTCAATGGATTTTTTCCTATCAATTTTTGCAATTCAGTGCAACTAATTGTCATCTACATAAAACATCTTACATATATATATATATATATATATATATATATATATATAATTTCACTAATGTAAAAAACATTAAAAAAAAAAAAAAAAAAAAAAAAAAAGAACACTCCAATAAAATTATATGCAAAGATTAAAATTTGTGTGTCTAATATGTGTAATTTTGAAAATCACATACATAAATACATACATATATTATATATATAGTCTTGAAAATCTCATACATTCATCAGCAGAGCTTCTTCACCCTTTGAATTAGAGTCTTGGCTCCCAGAAACTCTTGTTGGCCTCACAAGGCCAACATAATGCTGAGGGAGTCATTCATTTATTCATGTGTGAGGGAAGGGAAGGGAGTCAGTCTTATTGTCTTACCTTGTACAGAAAATATACATTTGTGTCCAGATTCTATCAAACTCTCAACTCCTTCGAGAACAGTTAATTCACGCTTCGAAAGAACGTCAAGTCGCCGATCGTAGCATTATTTCCAATCCAGTCGTCGCCACTCAGACATTTCGCTGGTGGGATCAAAGTGGCTTCTTCGTGAGGAGGATGTCTGCGTTCAAGGCTCTCCATCCATATCCACGTTCATTCCAGCAACGGAATGATTCTCCAATAGACCCACTAGTAGCAACGAATACTGTTGACGAGGAACTGCCCACCCAATCCTCGATCGACACTCTTCCCAATTTGGATCGTCGTCCTTTTATGTATTTAAACCCTTTCTGATATCAAGTCAACGTTGTAAGCTGCTATTTTTAACACACATAATGATTCTGGTACCGTACAAGTTTTCCGATCCCCAGACCTTTTCCAGCAATCCACTTCGCCATAGTTCATGACCAGAATTCATCGTTCACACACACCCAACTCAACTCAGGAAATCTTGAAGTGGGCCTGATAGCTAACAGAGGAATTCGGCCCTGCGTTTTAATGTTAAAGTGTACCCTGAACAGTGACCTTGATACCATATCTAATGCCATTCCCTATTTTCACCGTTTTATATTTCCAACTTTTTCAATACGATTTTGCAATAAATAGATAGTCACACACCCACGCCCACATGTATATATATTTATATTTATATATATATATATATGTATACACGAAGCAATAAACAAAACATCATAGAGACAATATCTGACTTTAATGTGCTGAATGAACACTGTTGCCCTGCATTGGATTGGAATTCATCCAAAGTGGCGGAGATCATACCCTCTATGGTTACACACTGCGCACCTCCCGGAAAACATGAAGGATGGGAATTAGACGTCCCAGTGGAGTATCGTCAAGTCCTGCAACTAAGGGCGGCAGTAAATGTCCAGAATCGCGAATCACGCCTATTATGTGGAAAGCATAAGGAGACCCACTTGTTGGTTGCAGGGCATCCGAGCATGTTTAGCCACTTCCAAATGGCATATTTTCCAAGAGTAGCCAGACTGGCCAAGGTCCGGCGATCGCCAGGGGCGGTACTGTTACCGCATGACTGCGTGGCTCGTGGACACCGCCTTCCAGGCTCCACATTTGGAGGCCAGTGCAGCATTTCGGGAAAGGTCAAGCGAGTGGAATTAAGGGATGGCACCGTGCCAAAGCGTTACGAGGCCTGCATTGCGCGCGCTACGAGCTGGGTCGCCACTAGGGGTCCAAGCGCACTTGAACACATCAGCCACCCTGCGAAAAGTGGCCACATAAAGGAGGGATCGGCGCATGGCACTGTGCGTGACGTGTGGACCTGCTTGTTGCGCCTTGTGCTTCTCGAGGAAGACCCTGTCTCGTTGTGCTGTGCTCACAGCTCTTCCTCCCTCCCTCCCTCCCTCGTTGCATCCGAGGCTGCTCTCTCTCTCTGCACAATCCCGCCTCGCTCTTTTGTACATACTACTCTATTTTACTCTATTCTAGAACCTGAAATATCACACTTCTACTACTACTACTCTCTCTCTCGCTCTCTTGTGCCTTTTCCTCTGCTCAACTGGGCGGTTGTTTCATGAAACTCATTCCTTTGTTCATTTGTTACGTTTAAGTTTTAAACTAGTGGCAAATTAGGAAAAGAAAAGATAAAACATACGAAATCTCACACACTCATGCGCACTACTTTTTCTCTTTTGCCTTGAACAACAGAGGTCACTTACCTTTTCAATGACATTTGGTTTTTTCTTTTCTTTTCTTTATAAAATTTGTAAAAATTTATTGTTGTTTTTTTGTTGGAAGATTTTTAGAAACATGGGCAGTTTCTTTTTTTCCTTGCTTTGTTTGATGTTTTCTATGTTGTAATATGCTATGAATTTGAGGTGTTTTTATTCATGTATTTATTCATTAATTTTATCATTAAGATCCTGAATTGAAAGTTTTAATTCGAAAGTTGCCTCATTTGTGTAATGCAGTTGATATATGTTCACACACTAATAAGTACATATGTTATTTGTTTTTTATTATCAACAATGCTATGAAATTTTTGTTGATTATTTCTAAAACTATGAAAGCATCACGGATATGTGGTATTCCAGATAGCTTCTTGAATAAAATATTGAACTTGGAATAAAAATATAAATAGCATTGAATATATACATATATAATACTTATTAAACTATATATAGCTATCTATCTATCTATCTAGAGGATGATACAAAATGGTGTGTAAAAATTATTATTATTATTTTCAAATTAAGATATATTGTTCTTATGTAAAAAATTTATTATGCTCAACAAAGAATTCTATTAAAGTTATAATCAATCTAATGTCCACATAAGTTAACACTTGACACAAAGAGGTAAACTAGTTCAAATCCTAGTTTGTGAGTTCCTTAACCTTGCTTGATGAATGCCAGCACAGAAATAATGTAAAATAGTAAACATACATTCAACACAACGATTGATCCAATTCCTCCTCTTTCTTTCTTTAATTTTTAATTTTTAAACTTAAAGTGCTGAAAGTGAGAGAGAACTACACCAGCAGATTCCAGTCAAATGACCTGGGAACCACATTGTAGCGGTGGTCGCCTTTATAAGCTGCCAAGACTTTTGCAAACAATGCTTCATTTTCATACGAGGCACCTAAAACTAACTGCGCAGTGTGTGATCACACTTAGAGGATCTCGATTCCAAATTAAAATTGCATTGGCAAAAAGGCAATACAACGTGGCTGCCAACCATTGACAATGTGAGGTCCATGCTATGTAAGTTCCATTGTCTCATATACACGTGGTTCAGTTTGCTTGAATCTGTTAAATCATAATCATCATTAAAAACAAACCTGTAAGAACAAATCTACACCTGGCTATTTCTAAATAGTAATACTTCTTTTAGGGTGGATTCTGCATGTGACGACAGTCACATTGAAATAATATTTGAAAACATCGAACTATTAAACTATTTGTGATGAGGGCCTAGTTGTAACTGGAAGACGTTGCACCTGCAGATACCAAGACAATCTGCAGGACCCCTGTGTTTTTTTTTGGATCCAGAGCACTAGAGGTCACTCTTAGTTTCATCAAAGGCAACATGAAAAGGCTTAACTTACCTAGCGTGGGAAAAATGTATTTGATATCCCAGCAGCACCTATTGTTTTGCCTACTGGAGCGAACAGAAACACCTTCTCAGCTATTTGCAAAGCGGAGTCACCGCATAATTGATGACGCGAAGAATCTTTTTGATGGAATCAACTTTGAGCCGATTCAAAAGGTCCACTCAAGATGCCACGATGCCACCAGGGCTCTCCAAGCCAAACAAAGTGCGGTGACTCATCAGGATTCAGTGTCGCCGAAATTGTAGGAACTCGCGACACTTGGTGATCTTCTGCCTCGTTACATCGTTCTCAAGCAGAGATGTAAATTTGGTGATGGTCCTGGCTGAATAGAGAGCTTATAAGTAGCGGTGACAGACACCCTCACGTCATAAATTTGTGTCTTCTACACACTTGTATACAATTGCATCTTTGAAGTCTGTCTATTGCAAGCCCACAAACACGTCGAATTTAATTTTGGTAATGTATGTTCCTCTCGTGTTTCGGTGATCAGTTTTTCCGTTTGCTTATTAGGTCTGAGCAGGAGTAGCTGCCCTGTCTCTATTTTGCTCTTCAGCTTTCTTGAGCGAGGACGTACTTGTCAATTGCAGTTTTAACTCACGCATTGGACTTGGTAGGTGCCCTTATGGATAATGTTAACTTTACAAGGCTCCTCGAATCATGAACGAGGGTCAATCAGTTGGATAGTGATCTTCATGGGATTTTGATTGAAAGACGCTGTCAAGATGTGCTTCTGGTTACGAACTAAATCAATGCAGTACTAGTTAAGGTTGTGTATGGAATCACCTCTAGATGTTCATCATTTCACAATCCAGGATCTATCTCCATATGAGTGTAAAGGGTAACGTATGTGTTCTCCTATTATTAACGATGAAGAATACCCTATCGAAACCGGATTTAATGAAAGTGGTGATGTGCTGTATTCGAACTAGTTCCGGACGATGCAATATTCTGATGACTTTTGTAAGCAAGTGATCCGATAAGAACATCCCAATTTAACGATGAAACTGCCTCTTGGGATGTGCAATTACAGACTGAACTTTAAAAGTGAATCTAGTGAACAACGCTGCGTGCTTCTAAATGGCTACTGCAATGGAGCGTGCTGCAATCGGATCCGAGGAAGCCAGGATGGAAGGGCGTGGTCCTGGTGGTAGAGCAGCAGAAGCTGCAAGGAATGTCGCAACTGGCAGGGACCAGCCAGGCTTTGATCGTTACAACGACGGCGTGGGACACACTGGTGCTGGTCCTTTCAATACTAAGGGAACAGACGTTCGAGACAGAGGTCTTTTGGATGGTAGGCGCGACCACCATCACGATGGCTTGATCGGTGATCACCACCACGATGGCGTGATCGGCGGTCACCATCACAACGGCTTGCTCGGGGGTGGTCATCATGGTCCATTGAGCGGAGGGGGACTAGGACACACTGAGGAAGAAATGGCTCGGTTGAGGAGCAAGACGCACATCACAGCAGAGGGCGAGGCATACTGCCCCAATCCCAATCTGAGGGATCTCCCCAAGGAATTCGAGACAAGGGTGCAAGTCATCCAGCGTTACCCTGAGATGAAAACCGTCGAGAAGACGGACTTCGTGAAGGAAGTTCACCACGAGGAACGCACCATCATCGTGCAGAGGAGCAGGGTCATCCATGACGACATTGAGAGGATCGACCGCGTACCAGTGGTGAGGCAAGTGCCGAAGACGAGAATCGAGATCCACTACAGAACTGTCCAGGAAGAAATGGAAGTCATCGACATGGTCCAAGAGGTGGATTATATCGATATGCCTCGGATCGAGATGGTTCCTCGTGTTATCACGGAGGAAGTGGAGGAAAGAGTTATCGTCCCCGTGGTCAGAGAGGTTCCTGTCACCCGCATGGTGGAGGTACCCACCGGCAACTACTGTGAGGCACCTGCAGGTTCCTTCGTCAGCCCCGGAGATTTCAACCTCCTGCACCTCAAGGGTGCTGGTCTTGGAGGTCTTCTGCACCGCAGCAAATCTAGTAGCTCGTCATCTTCGTCCTCGTCGTCATCCTCCGACGATGAGGGTCACGTCGCGCACGATGGCACCACTACTGGCCTTGAGCCCAACGTTAATGGAACCGTGGCTCCGCGCCGCCGTAAGAAGAAGAGCTTGTTGAGGAGAGTCTTGCACCAGTAGATACAGCGTCTGATTTCTCACTTGTAACGTAGGGCATGTTCATGGGTTTGCTTATGATATTGTATTCTATTGCATTTATTTTGATCTATAGACGAAGTCTTTTTTGCAATGTTGTTATAAATTATTACATATAGTGAGAAAAGTAAATACAAAGAATCATCTTATTCATAGGACGCACCACAATAACCGCACATCTTGTCCACAATGGTACTAAGTTTTGCAAAATAGATACTTCTGAGCTCTACTTCTAAATGTAATAAAAGATTAAATTCATTTTGTGTAATGAATATTATAGTACATTTACATTACTCCTATACAATATCAAAATAATTAAATAAATATTGTTAGTTTTTGCAATATTTGTGGTATCTAAAAAAAAAAACATTGCAATATATATTGCTTCTCTTTCAAACAGATTTTTTCTTATTACATTCCACTTAATATTGCAAAAAACTCTTTCCGAAATATCAAATAAGATCTAATTTTAAATTACTTTATATTATTGAAAATGTCTAATAGAACTAATATTTGCATAAGAATTAAATAACCTTCTGTATTTCTATTGTTGGAAATTTGAAAAAAATTAATTAAATTTTTATTTTTTATGTTTTACTTTCTTTGTGTGATAAAAAACTTATAAAATCTTATATTCTTTACATCTGAAAAAGAATTTGGAAATATTTTTAAAAAAATGTATAAATACTCTGAATATTTTATCAACTTATTTTTATAAAAAAATATCTTTTATTGTATTTAATCTTATTGATATTTATCTACTCTAAATTGACACTACATATTTAAGTAGTTGCTAATACTGTTTGTTATTTCATTACACTATAAACAATTGATCTTTTACTTGCACGTCTTTTGAATTCTAAGAATACTATTATTATTGAAAATATAAATATAAATATAAACTCTCGATTTAATATAATCTAATTTTTAAATGTTTTTTATAAATAAATAATTAAAGATTCTACATAATAATTCTTTATTATAAGTTCCTTTTTTTTATACGTATAATATTTCTTTTAATATTTAATCATTCTTTTACTTTTAATTTTATATTTAAAAAAATATATATACAAATTTTTTTTCTTTCTAAAAAATTATTATTACTATAAAAAATTCATATATATATATATATATATATATATTCATATTATTGTAAATAAAATTTACCTTAAAATATACTAACTTTTATTTTATACATTATAAAAACATCTTTATAATTTTTTATAGTTTTTTTTAAGTATTTTATTTTTATTTTCATACTTAAATCCAAACTAAGATATATCTCTTTAATATTTTTTTAAAGATTATATACCTTTTTTTATATTTGAAAGTAGTTATAATTAATAATAAAAAAATTATATAAAAAAATATATAATAATATGTTAATTTTTTGAAAGATAATAAAAATATGCTTAAATAGAAATATACATGTATATATATATAAGAATGTTAAAGCAATCCAAACTTTTACTAAAGTAATCCACCTATCATCACAATCATAAAAAAATAATCATCTTTAGATTCATTTCTCTATTATTGAATCCATAACTAATAAAAACTAAGTATATTTATTTGCAATCATGATTACTTAATCGTCATAGTCATTACTATCATAGCCACTTCTATTTATTATAGTCCTTCCTGATAGAATCTTAATCATATGTTTAAAAAGAAGAAAGAGATTCATTCTACATTATTTGTATTTTCTTGCCCCCACTTTGCAACTTAGCTCTATTGAGTTCTCTTCTAATTTGCCATTAGTTACAAGCTTTGTTATTTGCATAGCTCTACTCATATTTGCTACTAGTTATCCATAAGATTATTGCTCAGTACATTTGTGATGTAATAACTTTTCCAAGATGACAGAAATTATTTGTCCAAGCTTTAATAAATATTTTCTTATGTGGTATCCAAGTATTTTATAAATACACAATAACTCCATGAATAACATTGGGAATATATTTGCTATAAAGATTAATTCATTCCAAATCAAGAAGCCCTTTAAAAGGTGCATTATACACAATGGACCAATTTGCAAAAAAATGAACATTATCCTATTTCCATCTTATTTGAAAAATCAATTTTTATAATATGCTAATAATTTTATAATATATCAAATATAGAATAATACATTTGAAGTAAAAAATACTAATTCAATAGCATTTATTAATGCTAAATTCTTATCAATTCTAATACATATGGATCAAATATCTCCATAAAGTTGCAAAAGTTTGATTAATATCCAATTAAAAAAATATTTTGTTTCTTCTTCGAAAAAAAAATATTGAAGAAAAAAAGTCTAAAAGCTACAAATGCTTAGCATCAACAAGGATTGTAGTCTAAGAGAAGTGTGGAGAAAGATATCTCTTACTTCCAACACCCTTTACTTGTAGGTGGAGTTTACATCCTAAGTACATAGACTTCTATCACACTTGAAATCTATGCAATTTTTGTCAAAGTGAAATTTACAAATGACATCTATGCTATCTTTCATCACTTCTATACTTTCAAAATATACATTTACAGGTGCAAACATATGTACATCACTTTCCATTGCAAAATAAAAATAACTATGGAATATAGAATTTCTTCTCCTCTATACATTATATACAATGTGAAAAAAATAAACTATAATATAGGACTAACATGAAGAAGATTAACTATACAAATACTTATATTTGTAATAAGACAAGAAAAATAAAAATAAATATTAATAATAGCTATTAGGAATTGTCGAAAATCATATTAAAATTATAGTTTTTTTTATTCAAAAGTGAATGACAATTTCAATGATAAAGAAGATCATAAATATCATGTATTGATTTAAGATAATGGACATATTGCTTTGATAAAAGTTTGGGTTGCTTTAATATTCTCTTGCATATATTAAAAATAATTATTATGAGGATATTATAGAAATATTGAATTAATATTAGAATACTAAAAAATTATTGATTTGATTAATGATGGTCTTAATCTTGTCTATATATTTACTAGGTAACAAAAATGCAATATAAAAACTTTCTTAGAACCACAAGGTTTGTTAAACAATAGTCTAAAATATAGAATATTTTTGTAGTAGTTTTATAAATTAATAAATTTTTTCATAAAAGTTTTTATTGCAATATAGTATAGATAAATATATATATATATATATATATATATCATTTTTATTCCTTAAATATGTTGAAATATTAAAAATACTCCTATATTCTTAATAATAGAAAATATTTCTTTGAAAGTTTCGATAATAATAAAAACAAACTTGAATATGATAAGTTATCTCTGATTTGACAAAAATCTTTGGATTCCATTACTTTTTTTTTGTTTTGTATGAGACACAAATCTCTCCATGATACCATTTGTATATGGTGGAGTGGAGAGGAATTCTATGTAAGTGCCATAGTTTTTTTTTATGCTAATGTACAATATTCTTAACTTCTTTACTTCCTCATTTTTTAGATTACTTAGATTCTTCATTTCTTATTCTTATTGTACAAATTATCAAAAAAAACTTTTAGAAAGTTTAATTGAAGTACCTAAATACTCATTTGTATTGCCAAAGTATAAGTTAGTTGATGCTCTTGTTGTAAGTGATGCTTGCTAGAATAGTTTCTATTGTAGTAATGAATGTTTTAGGAAAATTGAGTTAAAAAAGCCTCCATATTTGTCCATGAGTTATAATTTAGTAGAGGGCATTTTTAGCAAGTTTATTAGATTATTTCAACTGTCAAAGTCAAGAGGATGTAGACAAGGAGTAGTATGCAAAAGCTCAAGAATTTTTAAGTGCTCTACAATCAAAGTGTAAAGTCATGGTTGCTTTCTACAGCAAGTAAGAAGAAGAAAGAAATTATTTTGCAATAAATGCAATGTCATATTGTGATTTGGCTACCATGTGAAAATAATGCACATGTATATCTAATATATAATTTATTATACAATGTAGTAAAAGCTATGTTATTAGATTTTAGTTAGTTATAAAATATGATTAGATTACTACTTTAAAGTGGTTAGTTTAAAAAGGCTATTATTGAAGTTGACATTATATTGATAATAGTTTTATATATATAGAGCAGCCTTTATTAGATATTGGTGATTTTTAAAATCTTATTTTGTTTCTTTTATTTGGTGTTTATAACATATATTTTATAAATCTTATTATAAAAAAAAAGTGTTAACGAAGGATTTTGGTAGCAAGAAAAATAGTTAAGACATCTATATGGATGAATGGAGATGGATGATGAAAATCTCTATTACTATTGGCCAAAAGGCATGTCCAATGGACTTCAAGGAGGCTACCTGAGGCCATATTAGGAATTAGGATTATTCTTTTGAAGCCATTTGAACTTGAGAGGCTAAAGTCAAAAAAATTAGGTTTTTTGCTATGGTTTTGGTATAAATTTTGAATGATTTAGAATTTTTATGAAAGAGATATAGGTGCTCAAAGTTAAGGTATTGATTTCATATCTATTGTCAGTCCTTTGGACGTATTGCACATGTACAAAAAACAATGAAGGATCAGAAATTGGAATTGGAGAGAACTCTTTCTTGACTATACTTTTCATATATTGCTTGATGAATTTTATGCTGGGATAAAGAAGATGTAGGAAGTTGAAATTAGGGCTTGCAATCTAAAGGCAGTAAGTAATTTGATTTGCTAGTGGTTGTATTTTGAGCTATATCTTGAGCAATTTGATGAGATTTTAGCTAAAAATTTCCAAAAATGTGTATTATTATATTACTAAACTTTGTATATAAATTTTGTAGGATTTGAATTTTGGATTTTTGAGATATGGAAAAAATAGTACTTAGGTGCTTGTAAATTAGGATTTAAAGCACCTTCTAGGATTTCTAAGATGTCAAATGATCTATAATAGATTTATAATTTATTTTTATTTTTATAATAAATCTTAAGAATAAAATCTACATTTTCTAGAAATTTGATAAAAATTGAATAATTGAATCAAGAAATATGAATTTCTAAAATTTGGAAAAAAAATCCTTTAGTAGAGAAAAATATTTTGAAAAGATTTTGCTATAATTTGGACATTTTATGCAAAATAAAGGACTTTTTGGTAACCAAGACTTCATATACATATTAAAAATAAAGATTTGCAGCTGTAGCAAAATTATAGTATAAAGTTGGATTTTTATAAAGAAATTATGGCTTTTCTTTGAGCATATTGAAATCAAGCTTATCTACAAATGATTTAGTTATAATTGAATATAGCAAAGGATATTAGGGCATTTCTAAATGGCTTAGAAAGCCTCATGAATAAAGCTTTTTAAATATAAAAATAATTTTATCAATAGAATATCTTTTGATACTATTATTTGGCCTCTATAATAAAAATACATCATTTATTGAAACTTGCCTAATAAGTAAAAACTAAATTCTCTATAGCTAGGTATCTAATGTATTTTCAAATAAAAAATCACGCCATACGATAGCAAGTGAAGTAATAGTTATGATCTTGAGACTTCAAGAGGAGAATGCAATTGTCTAAATGGAAGCTCTGGAATTTCAGCAAATAGTAATGGAGAAGGCCATGGATTATCAAGATGCCATTGACATTTTATTAGAAATTTGTACAAAACTCGAAGATGACAAAATTGCATTAACAAGAAGAATTTAAATTGTTCAAAGCGAAATTAAACACTGCATTGATAGAAGAAAGGAATTATGCTAAAAAAAGTGGAAAGGAATTATGTCTCAATGCTATTATTAGAAAAATATCTTACAGATGTAAAATTAACTTCTTCAAAATCTGAACAAGCAAATCTTCTTAGCAAGAAATGATGTTTTGTAACTCTTTCATGCACTTGATGCCCCAACAAGATGATGAAGCTCAAGCCTGAAGGTTGACTTAGGATATATTAAGATGATGAAGCCCAAGCATGAAGGTCAACTTAAGACACATTAAGAAAATGAAGCTCAAGTATAAAGGTCAACTTAGGACACATCAAGATAGTAAAGTCCAAGCATGAAGGTCAACTTTAAGTACATTAAGATGATGAAGCCAAAGAGGACCAACTGTACTTACATGGAATCCCTAACCACCTCACTATGCATGAAGGGTGTCACCTAAAACGGATGACAAGACTGGAACTATCTAATACTAAACAATAAGCAAGAAAACATTGAAGGCACAACATTTGTGTTGCATATGTAATATTAAAATACTAATAGAATCCAAGGATTTTTATTGGATTAGAGATAACTTATCATACTCCAAGATGTTTTTGCTGTTATCAAAACTTTGAGGGATACATTTGCTATTATCAATGATGTAGGAATATTCTTGATATTTCAACATATTTGAGAGGTACATCTGATGTTTTTTTCTTAAATTTTTTTTTTGTATAATTGTGTCTAAGAATCTTGCTTATAATTACTTCTATTTAATTTTTATTTTTTTATTTTTGATTATTTTTGTTAATCTAAATAATATAGATAATTATGATATTATATATCATAGATGTTGGTTTTAATCATTTCTAATTTAGTTATAAAAAAGAACTATTGTTCTTTCAATCTTAAAATAGAAAAATTAAAAAAAAAACAAAAATCAATTTCTATGTATATATATATATATACATATATTATCAATTAATAATTATTATATAATATTTAATATTTTTTAAATTAAATTTTATAATTTTTAATAAAATTATTAGAAATTTTATTTCTTAAGTATATATATATATATATATATATATATATATATATTCTTAAAAATATTTTTGTAGCCATATTAATTTACTTTATTTTAATTTTTTTTCTTTACTAGTGATATTTTTTTATATATTCTAAATTTTCTTTTTAATATTCTTTTATTACTTATTAGCTTTTTAGTAATCTTTTTTTTAATAAGAATGCTTTTACCAAAATGTCTTTTTTTTTAGCTCTCAAAAAAATTATATATGGTTTTCTTGCAATCACTACTTTTTATAAGTTTTGTATTTATTTAAAAAATTTAATATAAAAAACATATTTAATCTACTAAATAAATATTAATTTTAATAATAAATATAGTAAATATATTTTTTTAATTATTTATATAAATTCAAAAAATTCTTAGATATTTTATGTTTTTATATTTTATTTTATACTAAATTTATGTATATGTATATCTTATATTTTAGAAAAAAATTAATTAAATAATTTATGTAAAATTTAAAAGCTTCTATTATTAATTGTCTTGTGTACATAAAAAAATCAAAAGCATAATGATTTTTTTGTTAATAATAAAGTAAAAACCATTGTTAAGACAATTACATTAAAAAATTATGATATTTGTAAAAAAAAAAAAATTTTAACTTCTGTAAAAAAATCTAAAAGTTAAAACCTCAAATTTCTAAACCTTAATATATTATCTTAAATCATTTTATAGAATTTGCATGTTATTTTTGTAAGGTGTCATACAATGCAATTTTTTCAAGAACTAAATTGCTCAGTTTTATCTAAATTTGTCTAATTACTGTAAATTTATGATGAAAATATATTATTAAATGCAATGTTATAGTAAAAAAGAAAATTTAGAAGATTTAATATTATCATTGATTCTATAATTTAATATTATAGTTAATTATATTATAATATTAAATAAATTTAAAAAATATATAAGATTCAATTTTGATAGAATTCAAATATTAAATAATATTTATATATTGTATCAAATCCAATTATTTATTAATTACTATTCTTTTGAAAACCAATTTTTACTACTCAATATTTAAAATGTCAACAACATTCTAGATACTATTTCTCTTATGGCAATAATGCTTTATAAATATATTATTGGAAATCTCTGATATTCAATAACATATTTGTAACTTCAGTTTTTCAATTTATTAATTAGGTCAATTTATATTACATCACAAGCCAACTTATTAAAAAAAATTATGTACATTCTTTGTTATTGTAAAAAATAAAAATTGTTTCAGACATTTTTTTGGTTAAAATCCTTTAATTACCTTCGATTTACAACTTTACGGTTTAAAAAAATCTAAACTAGACAAGAAATTTAAATCCTTATTATGTTATATTTAATATGAAATTACTTACATAAGTTGTAATAAAGAAGCAAGTATTAGATGCTTTGCTAAACAATACTACAAAGTATATTGCCATCATTACAACAAATAATTAGAAAAATAATATGATTGCAATCAGATTCAAGAAATGTTTCTAATAAAGTAATTCACTTTGTGACATGTTTCATTCTCATGTATTTTTAGATATTACATCAAAACCAAAATCATTAATACAATACATGATTTCTACAAAGTCGAATTCAGTTAATTTAATTCAAAGATATATATAAGAGACTCAAGTTGAAATATGATTCTACTAATGATATGAATAGGAGTAATTCTGACAAAGTTTTCACTGAAAAGTAAGCATCGCAAATGCCTAGAGGATTTGATTAATGTACACGAGATTTCTATTGATATGGTTCATGTTGCTCATGGAGAGCTGTTGAAATATGCTTCACTTTTCTGAATATAGACATATATATATATATATATATATATATATATGTTTATTTTTATTTATACTTATCAATATCAATCAAAAACAAATGTAGTCCACCATGAGTAACTTATAAGCTCTCTTTTGATGATAAGAACGACCAAAACAGTTGCACGGAATCAACAGATCAATCCGTGTAAATCAGTCACACCAAATTTGTTCACAGCTTTTGTGGAAGATTGTAACCTTATTGTAGCGAAGGAAATCGACCAAAGCCAAGAGAGAAAATTGACAGCATTTGTTTAGTTCAAGTGCCGAAGACCTGGATTGAGGATATGGACCACGTTGTTAAAAAGAGAAGGGCGAGGCAACCGATCTGGTTCCGATCTTGGAAAATGTGGATTTGTTCAGATCTGGGCAGGTACCTCGCACCATCACCTACAAACATATCGTTCGGTGCTTGAGGAAATACCTCAACGTATGAAGCTGGGTTGTTGCACAAGTGGTGTCCACTTCTTCGTTTTGTGCAGCTACTTAGAGGTACTTGTTGGACATTAAGCAAAGGCGGAGACTTGAGACCTCCTCTACCACAATGTCCACCAACACGTTCATCATATGAGAAGACCGCTCAGCAGAACGAGGTTGATTCCGTCAGTGATGGGGGAATACCCCATAATGTAGACGGCGCTGAGAGCCTTGAGAAGATGAAACTTAGTTGGCTGCACTGGATTCTACACCACCAGGTTGAGCCCCGCGAAAGTTGACACAGTTGCAATTGGCGAATTTCGTTGTCTGGTTTTCTTTAAAGCCCTTGTGGGTTGGCAGTTCACTATGAGGTTTCTTTGCTTGAAGACACTTTGCAATTTTGAGAAGATAATTCTGTGTTTCGTCTGTGAGAATAGCACGGTATTGTTACAAGTTGGTCTGTAGATTTCTCAATACAGAGAACTCTCTGTATTCCACTTCTGCGGACATTAATTCCGTCTGCGTGTGTAACATATCATGTATTTTCTATGAATTCTAAGCTATGGGAGTAATAACTTCAGGGGTTTGCCTTCAATTCTAGAGGGCATTGAACGCTGCAACTTACCGAGAACACCTACATCTATCTCTCTCCGACAGATGAGGCGAAAATGATCAGAAAATTCTCAAGTTTACGGAACAGTGCGAAATTTCCAAACCTGAGAGAGTTCGCCAAACTGGAATAAAACCAAACTTGTGCATCGTGTCGCTGGAGGATAAGGGGTCATTGAAGTCCGACGTTGGACTAAGGAGTGTTGATAGCAGACTTGCTGCTGGTGCACATCTATTTGATAAAATCCAATAATACAGGAGCGAATGAAACACAAGCTCCTTCAGTAGGGATTTAGGGGAGTAGCCTCCGTGTAAGCAGGCGCAGGCCGACTAAAGTGATTCTGAAGCACGTTCCTGGCCATCTGCACATCGCGCACAAATGTTGTGCGTGCCTTGGCATACGGTGCATCTCGAGCTGCAATCGAGAACATGCAAGGGCGAATTAGATCATCGTTCTTACAGACAGCGATGCTACTACAGGATATTTAAAGCTCATATTTTAGAAATGAAGGGGAGGAATACACTTCTGTTACTTACGGAGTCGTTGAGCCCCTCGGGAATTGGCCTTGCGCTTTCTCCAAAGGAAGATAATACCAGCAGCAAGAACACAGAGGCCAACAACGAGCGAAATCATAAGACCTAACTTCACATAGGCCTTCGTGCACGATCGTATTCCAACGCCGCATAGATCAGGATTGTTGGCAACGCTGCATACAATGGACTTTAAGAGAGTACCCTGAGAAAGTATTTTAAAAAGGAACTCAATTCAGCTTGTGCTTACAACATGGATAATCACAAGGTTTCACGAAGTGGACGTAGACATACTTTAGAACCGCACCACGGATTGGAAGGGCTCCCAATTCCGGCGGCACCTCTCCACTTAATAGGTTGTCATTCAGCAACCTGCAACGGTCAACACGATTACCTCTGATGAGAAAGGATGGACGGCACAACTCCATGGTTTAACAGTGAGAAAGCTTTTCCGAATAGATAATCTTACAATTGCTTGAGGTTAGAGAGTTGTCCAAGACTGGCAGGGATTTGTCCATTAAGACGATTATGCGAGAGGTCCCTGCGCCATGATCAACGAAAGAATATATTATTCCAGTGCTTGCGGATCTCAAAGATATAGACTGCTACAGATCGCATTCAGAAGCCAGTTCGAAAATGGAACGCAAACATTACGATGCATGAGAAAGGTGTCCGGGTAAGCGAAGACGCAAGAGTACTCACAAAGAGGTAAGGATAGTCAGGTTGCCAAACGAGGAGGGAATCACTCCATCCAAGATATTGTTGCTCAAGTTCCTGCTCACATGCGACGCACACAATTAGGTGCCTTCTAGATTAACTGATGGAGCTCTGCGTTTTACTTGAGCACAAACGATGCCTTCCTGTGATTAGTCCAAAACCTTAAAACACTAAATCAAAGTATGTTATTAAGAAGCAACTTACAGCGATTGAAGATGATTCAACCCCACCCATCCATCACCAAGCTGGCCTCGTACTCCCTGTTGATCTAAAGCTCTGAAGTCATGCCACCTTCGTAGGTTAAGCGAAACTTGCCGTAAAGAATAACCACAGCTCAAATCTTGCCAGGGTTGCTACAATGATAAACGAAGCTAAAAGATTAAGTCATGAAGTCTGCATGCGGATGGTCGGAGACAGTGCGCTTACAGGGAAGAAACAAACCAAGCCCCGACAACCGATTCAAACGAACACTTAACACCAATCCAAGGGTGCACCGGAGGAACACAAGGGTCTCCGTTCCATCCTAAACGTGTAGGTAAATCCTGGCTCTGTTTGATGGCCTGAAGCGCCCACACTGCAGACAACGCCGTAGCCACAATCATGAGCAGGATTCTAAATTGAATACTGTTGTTAATCAACACATGGAAAAATTTCGTTAGATCGGCTTAGGTTTTGTACCATTGTCGTCTAAGGTAGCATACTCGCGCGGGATAATCTGAAAGACTTCAAATGCGTTTACAGAAACTGACCCCACGAGAGGAATGAAACTGAGTTTTAAGGTGTTGCTGGCCACGGGGATCGTCTTGTTCAGGATGAGGGCTCGGAATGGTGCTCCCGCCATCTTTACGATATCCACAGCATGAAACAGGTAATCGTCATTGACCTTTACATCAAACACTCGCATGCCAGGGGCAATGACCCCTGGTTCAATCTCCGCGAAGTGCAGCCAAATCGAGTAGTTCTGATTCGACGGCACAGAGATACTGTACGAGAGTATGCTGAGTGGCCCCGTCGTGGTAGCAGTTTGATAAATCGCCTCAGGGTAAATATTCGGCGGATTGCCGAAATTGCTGATGTTGGCATTTGTGTGCAGCATAGTAGTCGGAGATCCTGGGGCGAAGAGTGTTCGGTCTGTAGCCCAATAACGATCGCCACCCCACGCGTCGGCGTGCATCCGCGACCCATATCCAGATTCCGCAGCACCCGCTGTCACTCTCTTGATGGTCCGCATGATTACGTTCAAATTCGCAGATGATCCCAAATTGTAGGCATCCACGTATAACTGCAAAATCTCAATAGAACCAATGGCGGGGTTTCCATGACTGGAGCGGTGAAAACAAACGGTCGCAGACCCGTCCGTTATGTGAAGAAGCGAATCTCCATAGTGATTGTCGTCATATGAACTCCATCCCGGGGCTAACGAGTACACCAACGTACCCTCCAAGGACAATTCAAAAACGGGTTCCTGTCCTGCGTTATCGGTTTCTCCGAACGTGAAGAAAAACCTAGAGACGCAACCACAATCTATCAGATAGACACACTTCTGCAGAAGTAATCACCACTCGAAAACAGAAGCCATCACATTTGAGTATTGATTGCGCAAACCTCGTTAAATAATGTCCACTCGGGACGCTGATGTTGTAGCAGTTCTGAGGTCCATCTAAGCTATCAAAGTAACGAAGCGAGTTGAGATGTGTCGCAATTCCGTTCACTGCTTTCGTAGGGGCGCCCTTGCCCCCGCTGAAGCCAAAGTCTTTCGACCACACGTATCCGGTCTCGTTTGCAATTGAATCAGCAGTAGAGCCACACGCAATTCGCACTGCGAGAGGACCTGGGGTGTTGCAGAACACACATTCCTCAAGATGAGCCGATTTGTCGTACTTCTAATCTAGTTCTACTCTTCGGAAATTTGTGCACGTGAACCGAGGGCCATTCATTTAAAACACAACTGATACAAATTTCCACTCACTCCTGAAAATCGCGCGTCTTGCCGCATTCTAACAAAGTAGACTACATAGTTTCAACATTGCATCGCCGCTAGTCCCTTGGTTGCACTGAGGTGGTAATTATTACAAGGGAAATAAGGCGGTAATTAATTTAACAACATTACCTCCATTTTGAGCGGCTGCGAAAGGCCTCATAATGGCACTGCAAAGGACCGCTAAGATGGCGACGGAGTAGGCGCCTGGGAGATCCATCTTCTGGAGTTATAACGTTAGAGACGAGAGAGATAGACCTGGACTTGGGCAATTTTCTCTTTCTACGTCACTCTGCCAAGTTCCCAAGGTGCGGAGAATCTGTGCATCTCTCTCATGTCAGGGCTCTGGACCAATACAACGATAGAACCAATCCCTGCTCACTTGTACTCGAGAAGCACAATCCGTTCCGACGCCGTATGCGTCAAAGTTTAGAAATGAGGGCTCAGTGCGCATTGATAGAATCTGAAGTGCACAACTAGCTTGGTCCGGCTTTCAGATCCCATCTCAACCTTTTGTGTTCTTTCTCTACCTCTCCCTCTCCCTCTCCCTCTCTCACACACGCACAGACGATTCTCGTCACAAGAAAATACACTGGGAATTCAAATCCCGCAACAAAATTCACCTAGCTGTGCATATCCCGCAACAAACCAAATTGGACTTTTTATTCTGAAATCGCCAAAAACCAGCATCGATCGGGAAATCTAACTCCAAACCGCATTCAGCTGCGCATATTCCCGGGATCCAGCAACCCTGCAGTGGCAAATGAACTCTGACAATCCCAAACCTGGCATATACTCCCCAAACAGTCAATCGATGATCAGTAGAACTACCAGAATCAAAAAAAAAAAAAAAAAAAAAAAAAAAAACACTCGAGTCTCGATCGAAGCTTCAAAGTATTTCACACCAACCGAATGCATGAAATGGAATTCAAACAACCGATCCTTCCCAGCTGAGACTCGCAGGTTGGGATCACATGCAAGAGAAGCAGAGCGTTGTAGAGAGTGAGAATTACGAAGTAGACCAGTTGCAATCCATGAATCCAGTGGCGAAGAAGACCGATGTGCAGGTCAGCGGGAAAGGCGACGGAATTTCGGTGCATGGGGCGCCAGTCTTCGCGTTGCGCGCCGATGCCTCCGCCCCACCTCGCCGCCCCCGCTCCCGCTCCCGCCCATCATCGCTTCCCCGGGCTGCATCGAGTCTCCATCGTACAGTTGACCGCAAACCACGCCCCCCGCTGTGTGAACGCAAACCCTACTTATTGAGGAATAATTCAACAGACTAATTCCCTCATGTTCTTACGCTAAATGTCTTCTATCATTCACAATGCTTCTTGCATCCACTGTTCCGTTCCCTTTTTTTCTTTTTCTTTTTTTTTCTTTTTTTTTCCTTCATAATGCTTTGCTTTGTTATGTTGTTTGATGACTACAAAATAGCATGGTTCATACGCAATATATCACACGTAACTATGTGATATTGTAAAATGTCAAATTTTGTGCAACTCTATTGGTTTTGCTTTAAAGATCTGTCTTTAGTAGCGTATTGTTCTATGTGTATATGCCAATTTATAACAAGTTGTACCAATTTAATATGCAAACTCAGTACAAAATACTCAAACTTCAAAATTATATAAAGCTTCAAAATTGTTTCAGCTCTAAAATTTCAATCTTACCATGAATTCATAAACAACAAGATTTCACATTTATCTATCTATATATCTATATATCTATATATATATATATATATATATATATATGCACACAAAGATATAAGCATTTTTTTTTAATGATTTATTGATAATAATTTAAATTCTTCATTCCACAGAGTAATGACATTTCGCCCACCATTTGCAGTAGCCTTAAAAGCATCAAAAAAATTACAAGCAACAAATTTGAACTAAGCACACACACACCAAACCCCATGTTTGAACTATGCTTGTTAAAGATTTGTACTAGTATTGAATAGTTTACTTGATAACTCTCAATGGTCATTGCAACAACTTTCAGACATAAATAATACTTTGAGTAAAACACATTCTTTTCAATTTCATGGATATGGTTTTTTGTATACATGTTTCATTAACTTTGAAGCTTTGGTAACAATTACTGGGAGGAAATATATATCAAGAGTAAATAGAACCAGGATAGAATCTTGTTTAGTATGAGTAGATTATATGAAATAGTTTTAGATTTTTTTTTTTTTATTTGAAAGCAGATTTACCAAATCATATGATACATGAGAGAACAATGCTCAAGTGATATACACAAGGTTATTTGAACCGTATTCAGTCTTAAAATAAAATAAATAAATAAATAAAAATATTCATACATCTATTGAAAAAATATTTGGATATTTTTAGTTTATAAATAAGTAGAATCTCAACAGTAATAAATAACATTACTATGTTTGTTTGCATGTGTGCTTTTTTGCTTTCTTTCTTTTTGGAGATCTAATGTCTTTCAATAATCAAAAACTATAATCAAATTTACGAACTTCCTAATCCAGAATAATTATATATTTTTAATTTATGAAAATTCTGTTGATAGGCATGCATATATATATATATATATATACCCATTTCCTTCAACTTTAGTTTTTGTTGCAATTAATTGTTATAAACATAACATCATTACAATTATTATCCACTTGTTCAATCTTTTGCCTTTTGGACAAAGTAACCAATCAACAAGTGGTTGTTATTGGAATATCCAAGGATTCAACCCCACATCTCAATGCCATTTGTCCATGTTTTGATCCATTTCTAAAGAAGTTTTAAACTATGCAAATGATGGGCTTAAGAGACTCTTTAAAGACCTTTGATTATCATCCAATGTACTTCATATCTTGAATGATAGAGTTTCCTTATTCTCATGAAGATAACCATTTGAATAGACTAGAGCTTTTCTCCATAAATAATTTATATCAATCTTTCATTTGTTTATTTTTATAATATAAACAAACAAATAATGAGAGTTTTTGGTCTTCAACATTACTAGCCCCAAGTATGGAGAAGATATAATGTGTACTTTTTCATTATCCAATGGTTGACTATTTGTTGATCAATGAATGGAAAAAATGCTAGAAGTGACAAATCAAATGACATCAGATCATGATATTGAAGTGATTAGTCTATGTTTTGTTTTGTTTTTTATTTTTTAAAAACTTTTTATTCATGTTAAAGTTTCAAAAATAAAACATAGTATAGTGGTACTTTTCTTAATTAATACTTCTTTACTAATATATCTTGTTCATGCTATTTTTTGCAATAGAGGTTGTTTCTAGATTGTTAATCAATAACGTCAAATTTTGCATAATTAATAAATTATATATTATAAATTAAGTAAGAAAAAAAAACCGAAATTATATAATTTAAGAACTAAGATTTTCAAAATTATAAATCTAGTTCACAAGTTGAGCTACGTAAAAAAAATGAATACTAAATAAAATGGGATAACCAACTACAAAGAATTAATAAGAGTTAAAAAGAAGTTGTAGCTGATTGGCACCACATCAATTACATGAAATCCACTCAAGCATTGCAATTCAAAATAGATATATTCTTTAAGCCCTTGTTTAAGACTTGATACATTAAGATTTGTATCTGTAACAAAAAAAAAAAATCTATTTTTTTAGAGTAATATTGCATCAACTCATTTGCTATCATTGCAATAATATCCTTCAAGTGAATTGTTTAATCTCAAGAAATATTTTACAAGTTCTTTACAAAAGAATGAATTTTAGAAAGATTGATATATAAATCAATGATAATTATAATTATTAATTATAAAAAAATTATAAAAATCCTTGAATTATTAATTTTTATCAAATTAATAAAATAACATCATTTCATATCTTTATATCAAATTGCCTAACTAAAATTCTACTTTTCTATTCACATCTATCTTATTTAGTTTTAATTTTTTAAAAAATAGACTAGATTTATTTGTACAACTTTCAAGAATATCAATTTTTTAAAATGAACTTAAGAAACAAAATAATTTTAAGTGGATAGTATCAAAGATATAACTCTCTAAGAAAAAAATCCTCAATACATTCTTTTGTCACTTGAAAAGACTAAAACAATCACTTAAAGATGGTAATATATTGAATTAGAATAGCTATTATCAAAGATAAGAAGACTAGAAAGTCTTGAAACAAGACTAAAGATTAAAAAGGCATTGACAAGAGTGAAGAAAGCTTCACTCTTACTTCTTTCTATACTTTTTAATTAAGAACTTTGTGAGAATATGCTATAGGACCTCCAACATGTGTTGATTTTGCTAGATACATGTCTTAACTTCAAAGTTAAGTTATCTATATGTGGGCTATATAATTAGCTTGTTCTATAAGCTATTAATACTTGTAATATATGGCTGACTTGTTGACCAAGTTTTTGGCCTATCAATTAATTGTAAATATGTATAAAATCAAAGTAGTATCTATAAAGTTTTTAAAAAGCTTTTTTAAAAGATATTATGAAATTAATTTATTTTTGTTTACTTCTATCTAATCATATAGGTAATTATTGGAGTAAACATGTATGTCTATGATATTATATTCTCTTCTAGAGATGAATTCTACAAGAAGCGATTATCATCTTTTATGGATCTTGCTATTTTTTATCTCAGTTTTCATGGATGTCAATGAAAAGCTTCAACTCTCTTTGCTACATAAGTAAGAGTCTTTGTTGGCTATCATGTGCATTCATTAATATCATATCTATACCAATGAATAAGATATTCTAATATATTTTGGCGTCACCTTGAATTTAAGACTTCTTCTACTTTGAATTCTTGATTATTATCCACTTCTTTAGGAGGAGGTGGTATTTATCTTGTTCTCAAGACATTAATTGTCTTATATGGCTCAAAAAGAGATATGTAAAATATATGATGGATCTTCATAGATTCCAAAAGATATAATTGATAAGTAATATTTGATTTATTTATAAATATGAAAAGGACTAAACCTACAATAGTCCAATTTGTCACAAGACAAGTAGTTTTGATATTGCGACAAAGTAATCATACTTTTTCATCTATATTGAATTGTGATTGTTCCTTATGATAGGCATCTACATTGATTTTTTTATCATTCTTCAGGTTCTTTTAGTTTTATTTTGATTGTTACATGTAACTTTTACAAATAATTTATCAAATCTTTTGTAGGAAGATTATTAACTTTTAAAAAATAAAAGGTAATAAGTCATAGATGATAACCATAAGTAGAAAAAAATGATATTTTTTAAATAAAAAAATGTACTAAAATATTATATATAAATTCTACCAATAGCAAAAGAGTTGTTCAATCATCTTGATAATAATTGATGGTATATCTGTAATATTGCTCCAAAATTTGATTCATCTATTTTGTTTGCATATTAGTTTGTAGATTAAAAGCCAAAAGAGCTTTATATCTACTTTTAAAATATTAAAAAAGGTTCTTCAAAACCTTGATACAAATTCAGTCCCCCTATCTAATATTATATCTTCAAGCAATCCATAATAGCAATAGATATTATCAAGAAAAAGCTTAGCTATTTTTTCACTAGTGATAAATTTTGTACATATTATTAAATAAACTATCTTAGTGTAATGATGTACTATCACAAATATAGAATCATATAAACTTGAGATTGAAAGATCAATGATAAAATCTATAGAAACAAAAGGCTATGGATGTTCCAAAATAGGTAATGGCTGAAAAAGTCCATATAGTCAATAATGAAGAGTTTTTGATCTTGAACAAATGTTACATGATTGTACAAAGTCTTTAACTCCTTTCCACATGTGAAACTACCAAAAATCTTTAGATATTAGATCTAAAGTTTTATTTATCTAAAATATTCAACTGCTAGAAAGTCATGACGAATTTAAAGAATACATAATTGTTCTTTGCTTTTTGAAATGTATAATTATCACTCAAAATAGATTAGATTTTTTTTGAATTTAAACTTGGTAGTATCATAAGACTTAAAAGAATTATTCTTAATATCATAAATTAGAAGAT